GGCACCCGCCACAACTAACTTCTTCATAAGAGGCCTTGACCGTGGCAGCGAGCTTGCACGAACGCTAGACGGTTACTCCCTCTGCAGCATGGACTGGCGGCCTCCATGACATGGTCATCAATCCCCGTGGTCGCCACCCCTTTCCTCATGCGTGAGACGATCACACATGCTGTAGCAGCCCTCGTCCCAGTCACTTTCCCGTCGCATCTCCTCCCTAGGCGGTGCACACCTTGGCTGCCGCAGCCATGGCAGCACCAGTCAGCGGGGTTCACCCTGGTCACCCACTCTAGTGAACCCGGTCCCCCTCGGTCTCCTTGGTCCCGAATGTCCCTCACACACCAGCAGCCGCCATAGCTTTCGTTGACTGTCAACAAGCGTTGGCAGCGGTGGGCTGTGTACACCGTGCATGCTGCTCCCTTCTCCCTCTGAATGCATCCCCCCCGTCTCCATGTCCAGACGCCCGTTGACCTCGTCCGTATCTTCGACGTGGGCGGGGTACACCTTGCATGCTGCGAGAGTCTGCCCCCACCTGAATGTCCCAATCCTTTAGCTGGTCTGTCCCTTATCCCACACAGGTCACCCAGTCTCTAATGGAACGGTGGCATGTCTCAGGCCCACCCTAGTAGCAGGACCCAGGTACCAGGCTGTAGCACCAATGTTAATGATACCAACTCGCAGCGAGCAGCAGTGTCGAAGATAGTTGAACCGTACCAGTTTTGGACCGGACCGAATATGATAATACCAGACCGCCATGAGTGTCACCAGCGCTGGGCCCGAAGAGAAGAAATGAATAGATCGAGTTGCAGCTCCGCTTAGTACTGTACCAGTTACCGAGCCATAAGAATTAGGAGCGGGCTGCAGTACGCTGCCCCGGTGTCATGCCTGTACCGAACCAACAAGTCACAATTACCGTACCAAAATGGCATAGCTGGCCAGAGCGGCATTCGCCAGTCCCGTTACCATACCAGCCCAACGCCGGACGCCGTAAAGTGCAGCAAAAGTGCCGTGACCATACCGAACCAGTGTACCGTACCAAGATAATAACGTCGCGTGACCCGTCCCAAAATGGAATCGATAGCCGCAGCGATCCGACCATGTAATAGCAACCCCGAAACTGGTACCGCTCAGCGCTCGAGAATTACACCCGAGTTATAACTTAAGTAATAATCAGTTGAATCGGGGAAAAATTACACGTGAATTTATAATTATCGGAAGTCCGTACAAACAGATGACATCATGGTGAATTAATAATTTCTAGTTAAAATCATCACAAATAAACGTCGTTAAAATTGATCAAATAATAAGCAATCATTCGTTCTCCTCTCTTTTATTATTTTTAATTATTTTCCTCCTTCTTAATTCTATTATCGGAAATAATGACTAATGAGGGCGACCCCRTTAAAATTA